ACACTTTTTCAGCGTGATACAAGTATAGTGAGAGTCAAAGAATAAAAATGAAAATGACATTCAAAATCCATTTGCCAAAGTATATTTTCTTTTCCACGTACGCGCACGAAAGCTCATCAAACAAATATAGTCCGACAGTAGTATATTTAAACGTGCGTGTGGAACAATTTCCTTCTTCTATTTGATTTTATTTTCTCTTCAAATAACTTTAGTAGGTATTTTTGTTTCTTTTACCTTTATTCCTTTCTCTTCACATATAAAGGTAACTTTTCATTCGAATTTTCCTTCTCAATTTTGAACACCATTTATAGGAATCTTACTTTATTCAAATGGTATTGTCTTCTTAACAAAAAATTCTTTCATATAACAAGATATTCCATTAATGGTATATCTATTTATTAATATATATATATATACATATATTTGTATTAATCTTTCGGTATCTTATGTCATATTGGACTCCGATTAATCCAAAATCGAGCTGCATCAAATCCCATAAAAGGGAAATTCTCTTAACACATGTTTTTTTATTCACAAGACTCGAACTCAAAATCTTATTTAAGGAAAACTGAATATCTTTTATTCGAATCAGTAGGTCATTGGTATATTTATTTTCTAATATAGCAATACATGAGTAGCATCCATTTACAATCAAATTATTAATAAATTAATCTTTTTTAATTATAAATAAGATCACATATGCTGACATATCATTATATTAATAGACAAAGATATTCCTAACATGATATTCTTATTATATAAAGGATAGTGATTGGTACATCCTTTAATTCAACACACCTAACAACATACACCGGTTCAATCATTAAGAAACTAATATTTTTAATTTTAAATTTAAGGTGGAAAAAATTTTAAAAGTAAATTTTAATTATTGAATCAGTGACTGTTGTTAAGTACATTAAACTGGAGGATATACCAATAAGTTTCCTTATATAAAATAATTTCTCATTTTTAACACACTTATTGGGTATATTTTTACTTTGCTTTAAAAACAAAAAGAAATCTATTTGAGATTCAAATCTTTAAAAAAATAACTGATTTTCTCTTAATTTCACAAATATAAGTTTATGAATAGTAATCATTTCAATATTTTCAGTATCTATGATATATGCCACTAATTTGGCAAAGCATAATTAGCAAACTTATTCCACGGTTTAATTAAAAACTAAAAATTAGGATCAAGAGGATTCTTTAAAGGTTAAATTAAGAAGGAGGTAAAACAAAGATTTTTTTTCTTTTTTATGTTACATAATAAAAAATAATTTTCTATCATTCTTTCATACACTTACCCATATCTACCACTTGAACCCATAACTCCTTATTTTTACTTGTAAAGATTACTGTTAGCTTGGATTGTGTTATAAATAAAATGGAATGGAAGTTTTGTGAAGATAATTAAATAAAAAAAATGGAAGAGGATTTAAAGATAATTTTTTTAAATAATTTTATATGTCATTTAATAATAAACTCTTTTTATTTAATTAGAATTCATGATATTATATATATCTATTCATTTAATAATATGTGAAAATTATATAAAAAAATTATCTTATTTTTTTAAAGGCAAAGATAATTTATTTTTATTATTTTAAAGTACAAGAAGTATTTCTACTCATGTACACTAAATATTATGGATATGCTTGCTAACTCAAGATCCTGGAAAACCTTATCATTTCTACCGAGCCAAAGAGTGCACACCCCAGCAAACCAAACTGCCACCCAAACTTTATTTACCATCTTTCCTCCTTTCCACCAGTGTTGGTGGAAACATAGACAAACAAGTGTTATTACTCAAAACAGTTGTCAACCCCAGCACCCACAAACTCGCATCCAAATATTATAGGCAAAATCACAAATCAGCAGAAAGTGATCCACCTTCCCCGAAGCAGTAGCGCACCAACAGCAGCTAATATCTTGGTTGACAAAGTTGTCTCGATATCATAACCCAAGTAACATTAATAATACAATTGCAAATCCCTCTCTAATTAAAGGCTTAAATTTATTTCGTTTAAATCATTATTTATACCTTAATTAACGGGCCAGGTATCAAACTTACCTAAACCGGATAGAAAGCAACCACCCAAAAAGGGCTAATTATAAGGTCTATTTACCCTAGAGATCTTGACACGTCTAAGAACCTTTTATTATCATGACCTCCTAACAATCCACTTAGGTTTTAGTTAAATTATCCACAGCACCGACTGCAAATAATGGTCGATGACGACGGTGGTCATTCCACTATAACACAATTACGACCGTTGATCTGATCGGATAGTTCATCGATATATAAATGTAGGTGCACTGTATCAGCCGTTGATTTCGCCTGAAAAGTTGCATTTTCTTTTATGTGGCATATATACGTTTAGAACAGGCAACTCTAGCGGGGAAGAACCAGCGATGGATCACCGGATGCCACGTGTAGAAAAGGGAATCAAAGATCTTCGGATGGAATCACGTCCTTCTATTTCTATATAAACCTTCGTATACTTTCCTCCTTCACTTCAAACCAGCATCCTTTGCTCTCTTGAACCCTTCTTTAAGCTTTCCTTCTTGTCTCCAAGATGTCTCCTAATGCTATTGTCTCCAACCCGGCGGCCGTGCAAGCGCCAAAGAATGCATACGTCACGTTCTTGGCCGGAAACGGAGACTACGTGAAAGGGGTGGTGGGTTTGGTCAAGGGTTTAAGGAAGGCCAAATCCGAGTACCCTCTCGTGGTGGCTGTTCTCCCTGATGTTCCCCAACACCACCGCCAGATTCTTGAGTCTCAAGGCTGTATTGTCCGTGAGATCCAGCCGGTGCATCCACCGGAGAACCAAACCCAGTTCGCCATGGCTTATTATGTTATCAACTACTCAAAACTTCGCATTTGGGAGGTATAAATAGATTAAATTTTTATATTTTTAAATCTCTTTCTCTGTTCTTTCTATTTTTTGCTTCAAGAAAATGAGTCTTGGTTTTGTGTTGGTCTGTAGTTTGTGGAGTACGACAGGATGGTATACTTGGATGGTGATATCCAAGTGTTCGACAATATTGATCACCTCTTTGACTTGCCAACGGGGTATTTCTACGCTGTGATGGACTGTTTCTGCGAGAAAACATGGTCGCAGTCGCCGCAGTACAAGATCGGCTACTGCCAGCAGTGCCCGGACAAAGTCCAGTGGCCTATTGAAATGGGTTCACCGCCGCCACTCTACTTCAACGCCGGTATGTTCGTGTTCGAACCTGATCTCTTAACTTATTCCAGTCTCCTGGAAACCCTAAAAGTCACCCCTCCTACTTCATTTGCTGAGCAGGTAATGAATACAAAAACCCTAATTTAATTTCCAGAAAACTTTAAAGGCTCAATTCTAATTGGATTTAATTACCTTGATTTTTATATCTGTTTTTCAGGATTTCCTGAATATGTTCTTCAGGAAGATTTACAAACCGATCCCTTCAGTTTACAATCTTGTTTTGGCCATGCTCTGGCGCCATCCTGAAAATATAGACGTTGACAAAGTTAAGGTTGTTCACTATTGCGCTGCGGTAAGCCCTTAACCAAAATCTTTCTGTAATTAATTGGTACGTACTTAATTTTTTTGCTTTTGTTCTAACTGGTTTGATGAATGAATTAATAAAGGGATCGAAGCCATGGAGGTACACAGGGAAGGAAGAGAACATGGAGAGGGAAGATATAAAGCTTCTGGTGAAGAAATGGAGAGATATTTATGAGGACGAGTCCCTAGACTACAAGAACGTGGTCAAGGCTGAATCTGGTGACCTTGTTCCTTTGATCTCGGAATTTAGTAAAGATGGTGTGGTTCATGCTGATCTTCACCAAAGGAATGCTCCATCTGCAGCTTGAACATTGGACCGTTACGCGTTATTATATGTAATATGGGATTTAAGTACTTGAAGGTTTTTGTTTTAATTTTGTTTTTTGCCCTTTTTTTTTTTTTTTTTAAGGTCAGTAGTTTGAGCGTTTAATTAGATAAGGCTCTTGAAGGATGTGTTGGAATTATGGGATTATATATGACGATTTCCCGTTATCGACCTCCTTCAATATATATTAATTGGAAATAAAACAAGTGCTTTTTCTTTAATTTCTGATCCCTTAATTATATGATGCTTATGATGAATGCAAAACATTTATTTAGAGATAGTTACAAGGAATTAAAAACAAGGTTAAAAGCAGTTACCAAACTTTTCCAACAGTTATAATCATTTTTTATTTAGGAAAATTATTAATATATTTTCTGATTCAATACATTTATCAATATTTAGTTGATAGTTAAAATTTTTCCCTATTAAAAAATAATAATTTTTTAATAAATGTGTTAAACCGATAATGTGCCAATTATTATCTTTTTGATTTATTCATTGGTTATTTGATATAGTCTTTTTGTTGATAATTCTTATCATTTTTAATAGATCTAATTTCCTATTTGAAATA